ATTACTCTTGCCGCAGTAAAAAATAATTTTATATTTTTTCCGTGCATGTCTTCATGATTCCTCATTGCAATGGAGTAGACAATTTGGCTCGTGAGAGTGGCCATTTCACGGCTGAAAATTTTCCACTCCGAGATGTACTCAATGGGTCGTCGGACACGTGTGTGTCCCGGTGATATTAGCAGCCCTTATACTCGACTCTTTGAGCATAAAAAGGGGCAATAAAACACACGAGACGCATCTGGGTTGTGGGGCATTACAACCCACCGAGCTCACTTCTTTATCTGGAGCTCAGGGAGGAAGAGTGGGTTGGCGTCGTCATCCCTCTCTCACTCTCTGCTATCCCTAAGCGATTTCTCAAACGCTCGCTTCGGCTATGTCGTTGCCAGGCTCTTCCTCTGGTCATAAGCCGCAGCTTTCAACCTCTCTCGGCCCTTTTTCATTTTTTTTCCTTTCATTTTGTGCTTCACTCCCTCCGCCCTCTGCTGATAATACCAGCTTAGTTCCCTCTGTGACTGGGCATTTTATTATAACCTAATGACGAAATGAAAAAGACGAAAATAATCGGGAGGTGCACGAAGAGAAAAGTTGAAGGAAAATTGGCCAGAAACTCACGACTAATTTTATGGTCTGAAACGTAATCGTGGAGCGTAATGTAATTTAAGAGTAGTGGTAGTAGTAGTATTTTATTGCGCTATTGAATAAATAAATTCATAAATGCAAAATGTAATAAGAAAATACGTTGCGTGGGGGACATTTCACACCTGAGTTTTATCATTTTTTCCCAATTTCCATAAAATGACTACATTTTTATTCTCGATTTTTATTTTTGAGTACTGAGGCACGAATATCAACTCAAGGGCTTTCGTGGACAATGGTATATAGACATTGTTGTAAGAGTGACATTCAATTCGATTTGGGGGAAATTTTATTTATGAAATTTGAAACTTTATGTAGGATTTCAGGTAATTTATAAGTTGTTAGTACAAGTATGATGGAAATGTCACAACCTACTTGCATTCTCCATCGAATGTGGATATCCAGTACTTTTTTTTCGGGCGTAATTTTTTATGAAATTCCAAAGAAATTTTAATATTTCAGAACAAGTTACATGATAGTAATTTTTTGGAGCAAGTGAAGAACGCTCAACATTCCTTTCGCATTTTTTCCCGATAGTATTTTCGCAGAAAATGCCGAAAGTACTATCAGGAAATAATTTACATTTCATGGACATTGCAGTAGAAATTCTCACAGGAGAGCGATATTAAATTCGATTTAGGACGGAAAAAAATAATGAAATTTGAAATTTCACTGAACATTCCATAGAATTTCAAATTGTTTAGTAGCGAAAAGCCAAGAATTCCCCAACTGCCACTGAATTTCCAATGAATTGAAACTCCAATTATAAATTTTCCTGAATTTCTATTAATTTTCATGTAATAATTAAGCTAAAATTTGCAGTTTTCATTGATTCTTTCAACAAATTGTGAATTTTCAATTACGAAATTCCTTAAATTTTCAGAGGAACTGTCACTTGACAAAAGCTTCCAAAAATATCCACCGGAAATTCAGTCAGAATGTTCAGTGAACAGACTTTCCCTCCACGATTCCATGAGTTTTTTTGTAATTTCCCCTCAACTTTTTTTTCCGCGTGCAATCGAGATAAGGAAAATTGAAATTATGAGTATAAGGGAGAGAAAGAGAAGGGGGTGAGTCAATGAACCTTGATTGCCGTGGCAAAATCAACGGAACAATCTGGCTCGTGAATAGCGCGTCATCTTCGCTGTTTCCATCCGCGAGTTTCTCTCATCCCCCGGGGGAGAGGTTCAGCCCTTCCAGACTCGGTAAAACCGCGACATGTAGTTAGTACTGGTGGTTATGTATATATACTTGGGATTGTAATTAATGTATGAGCCTCTGGAGATTGAAGGATTTGGGCTGAGGGCTTTGAGTCGATATCCGACGCCTCGAGAGTTGCCAACAAATTTTAATTTTAATTAAAGTTTTGGGGGGAGGGTGGAGGGAATGGGGTAATGAGGGAATTCTTTTGATTCAGAATCTGCGGTGAGTGTTTTGAGGAGTTGAGGGGATTCATTGGCACTTGGTGATTTATCCTAAGTGGGTTGATGATACCTGGAGGACTCGAATATCATGAGGTTGCAGTAATAACAGGCAGTGAACATTTCAGTGTCTTGAGAGAAATTAAACTAATTTATTTATTCAATGACGAAGTAGTGAATTGCAATAGAACTCGTCGAGTTATCGCTTATTTCTGTTGAACATGAGGGAGAATCGAGTTGTTTCATGTTCAACAAATATAAAGGTTGCGATAATCCATTGAATTTTGAGTATATTGGAGATTTAAGATGACAGACGCCTGAATTTTTACAATTTTCAGACATTTCTTTCATTACATCACACTGTTAGACAGTTAATCCTGAGATTTAAAGTGAAAAATCCTGAAATTTTTATCAACGACTATTTTACATGAAATTTTCGTGTATTTAATTATTACTGACAAAAAAACCTAATTTTTTGAATATTCAATGGCATTGCGATTTTCAAATCCATATGACAATGAAATTATTCAAACTGATCTGGATCCCCAATGGATTAAACATTGAATTGAATCTGATGTTCAAGTTTTACAGTAACTTTATGAACTCGAGGTCTCGTTGAAATGTCAATGATACCTTAATATGGAAAATTTGATTTTGTTGAATTTCCAAGATGAGTGGGAACACTTCAGGAACGATTTCATCTCAAATTGGATTACAGAAATTGTATATTACTTGAATTACAAAAACATCGGAAATAAAAATGGTGATTTTCATAGAATTGCCATGATTCTTTCAAATTTGCCAGAAACAAATTTACTTGAAACGTCATATGAATCAGTTGTGACAAAACATTTCCAGAATTGCCACATGGAATTTTCTGTTACTGTATTTAATTATCTCAATAACGAGTCATTCTGCAAGGTAAGGAGTCTTGACATTTCCTCATATTAGAACCACTCATTTCCCAGATAATTCAATCATTAGCAGAAATATCAAATTTGACTCGTTTAATTCCTCCACTTGACTCCAGACGTAATTTATATTTCTTCCAACACAGTGAATGATTTCATCCGCTCACGTAAATGTTCTAGTCATCCGTGCAATGGATCTTTTCATTCTGGAAATCTAGGGGAAATATTTATTCCGTTTATCGAACCGAAAAATCTTCGGAAAAATAATAAAGAATTCTGATAAATATGAAAATTGACGGTGATATACATTTGAGCCCTAAAAAATGATGATTTACACGTCAATTCGATGAAAGCATCCGAAACTCCTAGGGGAAATAACATGGGACAAAACTGTCTGAAAATCTAGTGACTCTCAGTATGAAAAGATCTATTTCAAAAATTCTTGAAATGTTGACTATTAACTCACAATCCACATGAAAATTTAATAGATTCTGCCACTGAAGTATCTCCCAATTACGTTGAATTCCAATTAAACTGTAAATTTCAATTTGTACAATAATAATATTTAAAATTTGTGAAAACTGAGGCGACTATGGTTTCGAATCGCCACGATATTTTATTTCCATCCGCATTCGAACTCATTTATTCTATTCATAAACACACACACACATCGTTATTGAAACTTCAACCATAGGTAATTAAATATGAAAGGGAAATTGACTGAAGGCCCCCGGGCAATGGTCAGTTGAAATTTCCGCAAACTTGCAACGAATTTCGATGGAAATAAAAAAACGTATGCAAACATAAAGAGTCAAAAAAAACAAAATGAAATCAGAGATTCAGCAACAATTCAGTCCCAATTCCAATGAAGAACTACAACATTGGAAATTGGTGTACAACTATGGCAATTGAATTAAATGAACTTCTACGCTGGGAGAAAAAATTTGTTCTGCCGAGGAATTATATGTTCCCCGGAGGAGATTTTTTGTCGTTCTGAATCAATTTACTTGTGGACAAGAAAAAAGATTCCGCCAAAACATGACAATTTTCGCAGTAGTAAATGTTCTCGTGAGACATTTACATGTCATTCGGGTAAATATATTCTGCTACACGCGGAGAGAAATATTCAACAAAAATTACGTATCTTTCCCGTAATTCCGGAGCGCAATGTGGTTGTAGGAAATTTAACGGAACTGTCACGTAATTTTTACATAAAATCACGGAATTTTTCCAGAGTGTTCCGTAATTTTTACCGATCATTTCTCTCTGTGCAGAGAATTGTATGAGGCTTCGGTTTTATCAAGTTAATGTTATTGAGTTTGGCCAATAAATACTTATAATTTTCATGCAACAAATAACTAGAGGCCCGCGGGCAATGGTCAGTAGAAATTTCCCAAACTTGCAATGAATTTCGATGGAAATAAAAAAAAATGCAAAACTGAAGAATCAAAAAACAATTTAATTGAAATCAGAGATTCCGAAACAATTAAATCCCAATTCGAATGAAAAAGCACAGCATTGGAAATTGGTATACAACTCATTGAATTAAACGAAGTCCTAACCGTTCATTATTCATCCTAGTACCTGGTCATTCACTTCATCCGGTTTGATGATATCTGAAGTGATAATTTGAATATCACACGATGACAGCAATAACGATGATATCTCGCGGTAGAGTGGTCCCTCTTGTCTCGAGTTTAATCGCATATATCATGATTGACCCAGCGACAGCGCGAATTGCACTCAGAGACCGTGGCGCGACCCACGGATTAACCTCCCTTTTAATTAATTAACGGGGATACATGGGCACTGGTGCCGCCACGCGATACAACCAGCCTATCCGACTATTTGTGGTGTCGTGAGCCGAACGGCCATTCTGGATTACCTCCATATTGTGTGGAATCTGTCCCACCTCGAACCCACATTCCCGGGATGTACTCGAAGTATTGAGGATTTTGTTAATTAATTAATGGGAGGAATTCCGAACACGGAAAAATTCGAGGTAATTAATTGGGTTTTCTCTCTGTTGCAGCTTACCGAGCTCGAGCAGAGGGTGCTCGATGCCGAGGGACGGGCTGACGAGGCTGAGGATAAGGTAAATGTGATTTTTTTTTATCGGGAAAATTCCGGCAGGGGTTGGCAGTTGGGGATGTGGCTGGGATTTACCGTTTGGGGAATGTCGGTATCAACGTTTGCAGGGCGGTTATCATGCTGGGGCTAGTGGATTCACCCTCCTTCTAGTGGTCGGGAGGGTCGAGGGTAGTCGCTGAGCTTACCGACTATCGCTAATCATTTTGATTTGAACAATTTCTTCTTTGGTTGGGAATTTTCAAATAGCGATTTTTATGGACCGAGCCAGACTTCTTCACGGAAAAAACTACTTGAATTGAGTAAATTTTGTACCAAAATCAAGTATATGCATAAAGCTGATTCAAGTATAGTTTATACTCGAATGGGGGATGGATGTTCCAATTCGAGGATGATTATTTCGCATCGGCCCGGGTTGTACCAAGCGCTCTCAAGTGTAATATAAGGGTCAGACGCTAAGTGTGAGAATATAAGAGTCAAAAAGTGGCGGTTAAAAAATGAGGGGCGGAATATTAGAGTCAAAAACTGAGGGCCTGGATGTAAAGGTGGAGGAATGAGGGTCAGAATGTTAGGGTTAAAAAAAGAGGGTCATAATATTAGAATAAAAAAATTAGGGTCAGAATATAAAAGTAAAAAAGTGGGTGTCTGGCAATGAGGGTCATATAAGGGCTAAAAACCGTGATGAAGCATAATATATGACTTATATTTAGACCCTCATTGCCTGACACCCACTTTTTTTACTTTTGTATTCTGACCCTAATGTTTTGACCCTAATATTCAGACCCTCATTTTTTAACCTCCACTTTTTGACCATTATATTCTGACATTTGGTGCCTGACTCTTATATTACACTTAAAAGGGCTTGCTACAACCCGGCCTGATGAAAACAAATGATATTCGAATTGAAATACCCATGCCCCAATTGAGTATAAAATATACTTGATTCAAGTATGTTTTATACTCAATTCAGGTATTTTTTTTTCTGTGTTTAAAAAATTTATTCGGGTTTTCTCAGTGGATAGTATATTGTTGGAAAAATTGCATGAATTTCATTTTATTGAAATTTCACCGGAATTCCAAATTTTTGAGCAGGAGGAAAACGAAAATTTCCCGAATTACGGAAATTTTTAATTAAAACATGAATATTCACCTAAATTTTACTGATTTCTCTTAATTTTTTGGGAATAATTGTACAGAAATTTAGTTTTCGTTCATTTTCTCATCGAATTTTTAGAAAATCGATGAAGTATGTAGTTTTTCAATGAGAAGACTTCTGGAAATCCTACTGGAACTATCACTTGTTCATAATTCCCAAAATATGACAGGGAACATTCAGGCTTAAAATATCTCACAATATCTTACGCATATGTTTAATTTTACGGAGAATGGAATTGCAAATTTTTGAGCAGCAGAAAACAGAAAAATTTCCCAACTTGCTTGAGTTCTCAATCCATACAGGAATATTCAGTACCAGCTTACGTTGAATTTCCAATTTATTTGAAAATTCAAGAATTTATTCACCTGAATTTTCCTGATTTTTTTAAATTTCTGCGCAATAATTGAAATGGAATTTACACTTTCCACTGTTTTTTTCCATTAAACTGTGAATTTTTAATTTAAAAATACCTTGAAATTTCACTACAGTGTTCCGGAAATTGTAGCCAAAAATTTCTTGTTTCCAGTAAAATTTGATTTGAAAAGACTCATGATTCCAACCCGTAATCCTCAGAATAACAAACTTTTCACGTCATTTGCTAGATTTTTCTGCTGAAATCAAGTGGAAAAGGTTATGCTAAGGACAGCCCATAGATTTCCTCGAATAAATAAAAATTCTCTCATTTCCAATAAATTTGTCGTTCTACGGTCCCCTCCGCGGTCTCCACGATACCACTCTTCCTTCAACTTAAAAATCGAGGGGACGTTTGATTTCGCGGTGCTCGTTGTTCTGTTTGAATGCGCATGTTAGACTGCGCGTCGTGCATTGATTTTTGCCAACGTACACATATAAGCGTGTGCCAAGATGGCAGATCGGCAACCCCGGTATCACTATTTTTGTATCAAATACTCATCACGTGACTTTTTTTAAGAAAAAAAAATCGGTAAAATACGGTTATCCTCGAGGATTCACCGGCGAATGTATAGCGTCAGCCGGAGAAATTGACTTCACACGACTGTGATATTTCATCGAATGAAGTTTTACCAAATCGCGTCATTGCATCTCCGTTATCTGAGTTTATCCCAAGGAATACATCGACCTGCTGCTCAATTATGCACCCCACCAGGTGACACTGATGAAAGGTAATTGTAACAGAAATCCTTATCAATGAATCATTCATTCTTGTCGATATCGTAATCATTATTTTCATGGAAATGACGAATTGCATCGGAGTTCTCTCGTCAAAACGATACAGTCACGCATCAAATATTCGTGGACTCGGTCGACAAATTTTTCCTCGATCCCTCAAGTGTTGCTCGCATATGTCTCTTTTTTTTATTATCGAACGTGCGTATAACAGTGTGACTAAGAACGAGGGCAGAGTCATATTGGATATTCACTGGAACCCATCCTTTGTGTGGAACAAATGTTAATGTCGAGGCTTTTGCTGAGTCCTCTGCTGGCGCCAGTATTTTCCCGGTTTTAGAACACGTTTGAGGGTGTCATATTGTCATGGTGGCGGTGAGGATGTACTTTATTTGTCTATCATCAGTTATGTTACTCCTGGCTTTCTATATATCTTGAATTGGACATGTGCCAAAACTCGTGAGTAATCTATGGAGTGACTCTCACTCCTCTTACTTCGTTCATACTCCCTTCATGGATATTTTGAGGCGAAAAAAAATAACACGAATAATGTATACATGTGTCAATCATTCTATTCGAAGAGAGAAAGGAATCCCCAGACGAAGAATGTTATTGTTTTTTAGTAAAAAAAACTTTGTTATTGTTCGAGAAGTTAACGAGATGGGTTATGTGGTTTTATAAGAAACGAGTTTTTTTTCCATTTAGAATGAGATTTCTCAGTCATGCAGTTTTCAATTTCGAATTTTGACAAGTTCTGAGGTATGAAGTTTTGGTTTTTAATTTTAATGCAGAAAAATTCTTGATGGAATTGTCAGATTTACATTAGGAAATATTTATGTTATTTGGGGGAGCAGGAAAAAATTGAATAGAAAAAGCTATCTAATAATATTCTTTAAAAAACAGCATATTAGCTAATAAATTCTATGAATTCTTGTGGAGATTTTATTGCTTTTACACCATGAACATAAATTCCGTATAGTTTCGGCATTTTTCATTCTCTCCTTAGCGAATTCAAGCAAGAAAATGAATAGGAAAGTTGTGAAATTTTTCCGTAGAATCGGAAAAAATCCACTGGAATTCCCCAGCGAACGCAGTAGTTTTGTTAATGAAATTTCTCTGTAAGTATTGTCCCTCTGTAAATCTCAATCCACTGCAAAAGTTGAGAATTCACCGGAAAATTAAATGCCGACAGTTTTCTCCCCTCGACATTATTCTGTTTTTTCAACACAGCTGCTTTTCTTGACATATTATCTGTGAAAATTCCTCGGCATAAATTCCATGTGTTGTTTTTCTCTTTAGAGAATACAAGGAAGAGACTGCAAAAATTCACGGCAAAGAATTTCTATACAAACAATCCCAACAGAATAAATTGTATACAAGCATAAAACACTATTCATTTTTCTATTCGAAAATTGATTGATCTCTTTTAAAAAACTACAGAAGAGCTGCAGAATTTTTTAACAGAACCGACCGAAATTCCAATGCATTGCAATTTTTCTCACACAATTTAATTGACAAATCTGATGATTGAAAATGGTTTCATCTACAGTGTCGTCTGTACCAAACTGTAAAAGATACTTCGATAACCATAAAATCTCAACAGAATAAATTTTCTACAATGATCAAAATCATTGCATAAATGATTGTGCATTTATCTCTCAACCATTTTCTATGAAACTCTTTAAAAAAATCTACAGAAGACTTGACGTAAATTTCAATTGCCTGCAAAAGTTGAAAATTCACCAGAAAATTAAACGCTGACAGGTCTCTCCCCTCGACATCAGAATGCCCAGTATTACGATGTTTGTAAGGGTCGTGCACTCCACCACTTTCTCTCCTCCTCTCCCCCCCCCCCCCCCCCCCCCCCCCCCCCCCCCNCTTCTCCTCCACCCCGTGGAACACCACGATGCGTTGCGTTGGCCACGAGCCAACGTGACTCACCAAGTCTGTGAAACCCCCACAGCTTTCAGTTCGATCTCGAATCTCAATGTAAGCGCGACACACGCAGCAATCTCTCGCCCTCCCCCCCTGCCTTTTTCCTCTCAATCGCTTAATTTCCTCGTCTCGCCTGCTCTCAGTGACTAGAGTCAAGTGTTAAAAGAGACGACACAAGTATCAACCTCTCGAGTTTTTTAAAAACTCTCTTGAGTTTTTAATTCAACATTGATCGTGAGTTATTGGAACAAGTGATAGGGGATAAGTCATCATGGCATCCATCTTTTGTGGTAAGACTGTTATTCCGAGTGAGAGGTCTTTTCTTAATGATAATTAGGGGACTTGAACATCTGCTTCCGGTGTGGACTGCTCATACTTTTGTATTTGATACAGTAGGAGGGATTTTGGGACGATGGTGTGGGGGTGTGGGAGGCGTTAGCCAAGATTAGCTCGTTCAATTCTATCCCTCTGTTTGATATTGATTCTTTGGATGAGACGACGGTGAGGAGAACCCCCCTGGTGTCCGCAATTGTACTTGCATGCATTACAAGTCCATATAAGCAATATCGATTTTTGACAGCTGCCCCCGTGCGACCACTGAACCCGAAGGGGTACCAACTCACGAGGGGTGTCACCCATGTTTCATGGGATAGTTGCCATAAGGATGGCTTTCAGGGGTTATTTACCGGGGGCAGGTTCACCCTGGGAAAAAGACGTTTTCGTTTTTCGAGGAATTGAAAATTTTTCCATCATTTGTGCGTTAAGTGCAAGTTCAGTAGGGATGACGCACTAAACCGGGTCAAGCCGATTTTGACTATTGACTAGTTTTTTACGAATACCTCGGAATCTAAAGGAGATGGAAAAGTTTTTGTCATGACCTTTTTTATAGAGCCAATTGAGGGTTATAACAAAGGTCCTGAGAAAAAATTTGCTATCTCTCTTCGATTCTGAGATATTCATAAAGGATTGGGCAAGAGTAAAAATCGACTTAACCCGGTTTACCGCTTCGCTCCTGAGTTTACGCACGCATGTTCGATAAAATAGCACTGGTCTTCGGCGAGCGCTACACCTCCCACGAATCAAAGAACACTTTTTCCGTACTGACCTTCACTTTTCCTCGTCCGGGGATTGGTATTGGCCCTCCCCCAAACTCGTAAAACTGAAAATCACTACGGAAAAATATCGTTCACGACTAGTGTCATGGAGTTTTTTTACTCGCTTTCGGCTCGAACGCCAACACCACGCGAGTAAAAAACTCCGTGGCACACTGATAGAATGATTCATTTATTCCAAACGAGATTCGTTAACTATTAATGAATGGTAGAGTTAAATATGACCAAATGAATATTCGTTAATAGTTAACGAATGGTTCACTTGAATGGCGAAAGTCAACTCAAACAAGGCTCCTCAAATATACATTCGTTAACTATTAACGAATGAAGATTTGGTGGGACCGAATAGACCCTAACCTCCAACCAAAATCCATTCGTTAACAATAACTAATCCGTTCTATCAGTGCATTCGTCCTGAAATATACTATTTGTCATTTTAGCTGTAAGGCAGGGCGTTACGGACTTATATTATCCAGAATCGTATATTGCGGTACTAGTGTGTAAAGTTCGACTTTCTCACACGCGCGAGTAACATAGTATTTTTCATCACGCTGTGACGAAAAGTAAACTTTTCGGCACGCTCCGCGTGCCTAAAAGTCTAATTTTCGCCACATTGTGATGAAAAATATTGTTCGTAATATACTATTTTGTGGTATCTGCCGAATTCACTGTTCGAAACGGTAGTGGGGGTAATGTGGTTGTTTTTGTGCACGAGTGCGTAAAGTTCCCGAGTTAAATTCACCTCCTTTATTGTGGAAATTCACCCGTTCTAATTAATATTCATACCAAATTTTTGAGAATAATGTGGACTCATTGAAAATGACGACTTTTTGGTGGAAAAAAGAACGCGCAGCGCCACGAAAATGGCGCTTTGCAGGTCCCTCGACACGAAAATTAATATACACACCTCGCCATGGAAAACATATCACCCTCCCCGATATCACCCTCACCCCCCCCCCCCCCCC